CCCAAGAAATCCAGTAGGAGGTCTGGGTGTTCAAGGTCCATAGCAAACCTCAAAGATGTCATCCATGGGAGAGAGAGAGACATGGGGAACCCTCCCAGTTGCAGCCCAAGATCCATAGGAAGCAGTGAGTTTCTCAACCCAATCACACATGAGGTCATTCTCAGCAACTCCAGGTGTGAGCTCAAAATCACAAGCTTCAGTGGGTCCCACGACGGAAGAGACGGCGGCGGGAATGGTTCAGGGTCACTTGTTGGCACTCTTTTGCGGCCAGGAACGCCTGGCCCCGGAGGAGGGCACTACTTCAGCTCTTCCTACAGAAGCCAAGCAGCAACTCTCCCAAGAAGGACCCTTTCTCCTCTTATGGGGGAAAAAGATGCCTCAGCGAGTGTGGTGGTCAACAATGGCTTTCCTTCAAAACGCAGGGCTTCTTCCACTGACATCAATGGCCGCTCTGCACCGTTCATATGTCACAAGTGCGGTGATGAGCAGTTTGGAAAGTGGGAAGCTTTTGAAGCCCACCATCTCTCCAAACACGCTGGTATTTTGCTTTTGATGAGTATTATCTTAGACAGGGTATTTAATGCTTGTTTTCTATGCTCTATTGAAATTTGTCTTTCCCTGTTTGGTATTATATTTTTCAGACAATGCCTTATATATGTGATAAACTTTTCTAAACTTTTTAACTCCCAGACAAGGGTTCAGATTGGAAAAAATCAAGATCTTACTAGACAGGGTGTTTGAAATTTTATCCCACATTGGCTATATATGAAGGCATTGGGTTACTCCTTCAGTAAGAAGAATCTCTTTTAGTGAGTTAGTTTCGAAATGAATCTATGCTCTTTTAAGTTAAATTTTGAGTTAACCTCGTTTAGTTCCACTATGTAACAAGAATTTAGATTTTCACATAATATAATTTTACTTCCAAAAACCTCAAATAGCTCCCTTTCGGTGAGCATGCGAAGTAAATGTTCTCTTTATAAGGAATTTTATCATGTTTACATAGGTTAACATTTATCTAAACAAATGTTTACCGCATTCAGTTGAGTTAATTGAATAATTCATCATTCATCATTATCATTACCCCAGTGCCGCTAGTTGCATGGACCCATAGTTAATCTAATAATTATCCAAACAAATTTTTATGCACACAATTTTAAGTAAAACTATGTTTACTTAGTTCAGCATGTCTACTTAAGTTCAGTCCATCTCCATCCAAACTGACCCATAGGGCAGAACCCAACCCTTAATATTATTCATTGTCAATACATGTTCTACAGAAAAGGTATTTATTCCGGTTAACTAGCAACATACATTAGATCTCCTCAGACTTATTTATCAATCAACATCAAGGCCGTGGTCAACTGCTTGATGTTTTTTTTACAACATGGCATATGAGGCCATTCTTAGCTTCTTGAGTACTTACTTTGGCATCAAATTATATGCAGTGACTGAACTTTTGGAGGGTGACTCCTCAAGGAAAATAGTGGAGATAATCTGTCGGTCAAGCTGGATAAAATCAGAGAGCCAATGCGGCCGAATTGAAAGGGTGTTGAAAGTTCACAACACACAGAAGACTCTTGCAAGGTTTGAAGAATATAGGGAGATGGTGAAGGTGAAGGCCGGTAAACTTCCCAAGAAACACCCGCGATGTCTTGCAGATGGAAATGAGCTATTAAGGTTCTACGGCACAACTGTCGCATGCTGTCTTGGCATGAATGGATCATGCAGTCTTTGTGGGTCGGATAGGTGTTGTGTTTGTCGGATCATAAGGAACGGGTTTTCCACTAAGAAGGAATTCAAGGGCGGGATCGGCGTTTTCACGACTTCCACAAGCGGAAGAGCCTTTGAGTGTATAGAAATGGATGAGGACGACCCGTCCCAAAGAAGAGTCTTGTTGGTCTGCAGAGTGATTGCGGGTCGAGTGCATAGGCCTTTGGAGAACATACAAGAAATTGCTAGCCAAACAGGGTTTGATTCATTGGCTGGGAAAGTAGGCCTACATTCAAATGTGGAGGAACTCTATTTGCTTAATCCCAAAGCTTTACTTCCATGTTTTGTAGTGATCTGCAAATCCTGAAGAGATGAAATAACATACTCAATGCTTTCCACTTTCTGCTTCTAAACTCTAAAGTAGTTTGAGACCAAGTATAGTTTTATTTAGCATTTTAGCATCTGCAACATTGGAATTTGGCAAGGTTAATGATTGGTGCCTTTTGCAATTACACTTGCACCACCTACAATGATTTAGGGTCTGTTTGCAACAACTTCTGCTTTTAAAAAAATGTTTTTTTTATGAAATGGGGAGAAGTGATTAAATAAAAGTTGATAGTGTTTGAGAAAAAAGTGATTTTGAAAAGTAAAAGTGGGCAGTGTTTGGTAAAATAAGTGCTTTTTGTGTAATAGAAAAAGTAAAAACACTTTTGACGCGGAAGCCGAGAAAAATAAAAGTTGTAGTGTTTTGGAAAATAAGTGCTTTTTTAAAGCCAAAAGCTGAGAAGTGCTTTTTTAAAAGCAGTTGCAAACCAACCCTTAAAATCTCTTTGCATTATTTGTAGTGTAATTGTTAATTAGTATGTTTATTGGAATTAATATATTTAGGATACAATTATGAACAGGGATTTAATTAATTGTGTGGTTTACGAAAGCATCATAATTATCATTTGAAAGAGATGCAGCGTGATTGCAGTAGTGTTTTTCATTATTGAAACTTGAAAGGTAAAGGATGTTTTGTTTTGAACCGTTTTCAGTCCCAAACCCGACTTTCATAGTTATAAAATACACAGAGATCAGACGCTTACCAGACCAGTTCAGACCAGATCAGATCAGCAAATTTCGGTCCAATAGAAAACATCCTAAATTTAATGAAATAATGTCTTCTTTACAATTATCCTGCTAACTCCCTTGGTTTCAGGGACGGGTCCAGGATTTCGGGATGCCCTGAACTGAAAAGTAAATATACTAGGTTTAAAATTTAGTGGGGTGGACTAAATATGAAAAAATTAAAAATTTACACTAAAAAAATTGAATTTTTTTAAAGCTGCCATGAGCTTCAGCCCATCATAGCCTATACATAAATTCTCGGGATAAGGCTCAAATTGGACACTATGGTTTCATCAGAATCTCATATTTGACACTAAGGTTTTAAATGGACTAAATTAGACACCATGGTTTCATATGTCTCTCATATTGGACACTAAAGTTTCATAATTCAATATAATTGAGTGTCCAATTTGATCTTTATCCAATATAAGTGAGTGTCCAAAACCTATGAATTATGAAACTTTAGTGTCTAATATGAGATACAAATGAAACCATAGTGTCTAATTTGACCCATTTGAAAACTTAGTGTCAAATATGAGATTCTGATGAAACCATAGTGTCCAATTTGAGCCTTATCCCTAAATTCTCCCCTGCTTGGTTTATATTGGGGTTCTACACTGTCTACGCTGTATAAAGTCTGCATTGGCTCAAAACGATCCCATATCGACAATGCAATCCAAAGTAGTTAAAACAGCAGCTAAAAGAGAATTAAAAACAATAAAATCCTATTCGATCATACCCTTACAAATTGGAGCTCTTTGAATAAGGTTCTATCTTTGTAATGTATTATTGTTAACTAAAGAATCGGAAGGAATTGTCAATATATTGAATTTCTTGAAGAGATACTAAATCTTTTTCAAGGAGTAAAGATTTGTACAAAATTTTCTCATGTTGGATGTGCACATTCCAAAAACAAAAAACAAAATAGAAGACTTTGGCATTAGGTATTAATTAATGTGAAATGTAAAAGAAGTTCAATTCTAATACTGGCACATCGCACTACAGCTAGCTTACGCATGAAAGTGGCCGTATATTTTGTTTACGTTTCAATGGCATATAAATCCAGCTCTGATCTCGATCTAATTGTTGATGCTGATCCACCACCTACTGTGGGTAAGCTAATACGGAGTATTATACATTACACATAAGATAAAATATACACCCCACCTATCACCTTTTAAAATATGTAACATTTTGTAATTCTATCACACCACATCGTCTAAGGCGAATGATGCTCGACATATGGCTCAATCTGTGTATATTGCTGTCTAATGAATAACAAGTCCATCTAGGTTGAAGTTCGTCATATGACTCATGTGATGTTCGTCTACATTGAGGTTTTTAGTAAATTGGTAAAACTTTTTACCAATTTCTAGTGTTTCAACTTTCATAGTTCATAGTACATCACACGTGATCATTGTGTCTAGATCGGGAGTTGTACAACTGTATTCTATTTCCCAGTAAAATCAGTAACTACTATTTAGTCATGGCATTCCAGTGCAACTAGGCATATACGAAGTATATGGTTCAGCCTGGACTGAAACTGGACCAGGACAATGTTTTTTAATCAGGAACCGAACCCGGACTGACTGGTCCTGATTCCTGAATGGAATCAAATAATTTCCAGGCCAGTTCCGATTCCTGCGAAATAGGAACGGACTGGATAAGTTTTAGTGCCATGAAAAAAGGCAAGAACCGAACTCAGAACTGGCCGATTCTACCCATTTTTGGAAGAAAACTGCTATTACCCGGTTTCAGTTGCTGTTACACCTTCAGTAAGGAGCAAAAAAGGCCCATGTCTACCTCTGTGTGCAATGCATAGGTGGTGATATAGATTCTATTTTAGTCTGATCGAAAGACGTTTTATTACACAACACAACAACTTCTATACCTCAATGGCTCAATTTTACTCGCGGCATTTCCTGTCGGGAGAACCTAACTTATATTATTGTCGGCAGTACTATACCCATTCCCAACTAATTTAGGAAGTATTAAAAAAAGCAATAGAAAGATGTTAGGGAAAAAGTCTTAGAATGCAACAACCAAAACAAGCAATCTTGCACTCATAAGCAAATAATGAGTTAGTTTTACCTGCTCCGTTTGTGTTCAAATTTCAACTAAATTGTTAAACAATAAAATATGCATAATGTTTTGAAGACTACTAGTTTTACCTGCTCCTTTGTGTTCAAATTTCAACTAAATTATTAAAATTAGAATATGCATTACACTTTGAAGATTACCATTATTGAGATAATACAGTGTTATTACAGACCAATGTAGTACTTACAGTGGTAACCAAGAACTTCTACTAAATGGGAAAGAACATAATCCGAATAATAATCAAACGGCATCAGAAATCCATGATGAATTACAAGGTTGCTGACCTAAGCTGCAACAAGCTATCAAGTAATTCCGCGTGCACATTTTCACCCCCACCCCCATTTATCATGTATACAATATAGTCATCTATGCTTTGTACTTTTTACAGATGGTGGGCTTGTTTAATGGTGCATAATGGAGATGCTTACTATTGTTTACAAGGTAAAAACCCATGTTCTATACAGCTCTGGATAGTATCCTGTATGATACCTTGGACACCATGTTTGAAAGAATATCCCAGGTCCATTAATTTTTTTGACGAAATAGTGGGGGGCTGCAGATTATCATCTTGCATTATCAGGCTACACAAACAAAAAGAAAAAGATCAGAACAGTAACTTGTTTGGAAAACAATACAGCAATCTATACAAAATATTTCTGAAAAGTTTGGGGTTGGCTAACATGAATCAACATATTATATTGGAGAACAATGAATAGGGAATATATTAAAAAAAGAACCTTGGTGCATTAGGAATTGGGTATTCTTCAGTTAGTCGAGCAATCAGTTCAGAAATTGAAATATTGCGAGCACAGCAGAAATATCGTCCTTTAGCTTTATCATTTTCCATGAGGAATATGTGGGCAGAGCATATGTCTTCCACATGAACTACTGCAATCGATCCCATTCTTGAGTTTACTGATGCTAGTATTGGTAACAGCCCTGCGTCCCCTACACTAGTCCAAATACAAAAAGTAAAACCTCAATAACAGTCCCATAAAATGTGGCTTGGATAGAGTTTCGGGAAAAAACATGAATTACCTGTTATTGGTGATAAGAGAAACCGAATGCTTGATGGAACTGTAGAAGTGGAGAATGGACCAGCCACTGTTGGAGAAATTACTGACACCAAATCTATACCATTTTCATTGGCAAATCTGAATGCAGCCTCTTCTGTGGATACCTTTGCAATAGAATACACCTAAAATAAGATATTTAATTAGCTTTTCATCTCTAGTATGAATGATTTAAGACTGATTAGCATTGCACACGAAACATGAAGTGTGAATGTAGGAAATGATATTTTGAAAAATATTGGCTATAAAACGTGGCGTAACACATAAATGTAAAAAGAGAAATTTACCCCACGTATGATTAAAACCTTTTATCTTTCTTAATCTATGACTAATATCTTCTTTTTCCTTAAATGATGGCACATGGCATGTATGTACATGATCGTGCCTTTTAATGTTTAGGTTTCCTTCCAGCTTTGCCCTCTTTTCTAAGACGGTTAAGGATGACCGGAACATGCGTGTTCCATGTTTACCCTCTTCCCTACTCATACGCTAGTCAATAAACTTACCCACTCATATTATGGGAATTCTCAGCACTTATACTCATAGATACGTATTTATCCCAATGTAAAAAAATATAGGGATATATATTTATAAATTAGGAAAAATTGAAAACAATAATCCCAACTATTGTTGGTCCGCTGAAAATAATCCCAACTATTGATTATTTTTGTATAATCCCAACTATATAGACTATCCGCCAATAATGGTCCATGACCATATATTACCTCTATAAAAAGTGAATTTTAAATAGAAATTAAGCGTAAAAATTAAAAGTTGAGATTATTTATAGGGATTACTTGTTATATCTCATCTCATCCACTTTAGAAACTACAAGAATTTATTCATAGGGACCATTATTGGCGGAAGGTCCCTAAAGTTGGGATTATTCTGTAATAATCAATAGTTGGGATTATTATGAGCGGACCGCCAATAGTTGGGATTATTACTATCAATTTTTCCTATAAATTATCATATAAACTGAGTTACAATAAGTCAATAACGATAGATAAAATAGTCCATATGTATATAATATAAATAATTTACATATCAGTATCTAAAAAATGCAACATTATACATACCCATCCACTTGGCTTAGTCTTCCATACATGTTCTGTTGGGATGTTGCAAGTTTCATCTACCACAGGTCTCAAATTTCCAGAACTATCCTGGCCTGTCATTGTACTGATTGATGATGTGAAAACAACTCTTTTCACCGAGTATGCTTTCAAACAAGATTTAAGAACGTTTATTGTCCCTCTGATTGCGGGGTCTATCACATGTTCTTGAACATAATTATCTTCAAGATAGAACAAATAAAAACTCGAGTCAGAACTACACAAATTCTAGAATTAATATGCCAGTAGAGAACAGTCCAACTAAACTGGAATACATGTATGCACATAGTAAAGTGCTAGCAGGCATCCTAGTTAGGAAGGTCAATGAGCATCAGTGAATAACTCATGAATAAGCTCTTTGTAAATGCTTGTTTAGTTTCTTTAAGTAAACATAAAAATTAACTATTACTACCTCCGTCCCACTAACGTTGGGACAAGAGGAGGTGACACGGTTATTAAGAAAAGTGGGTTTATGTGTTTGATATTGAATTGATAAAGTAAGAATAAAGTAAAAATGATTTAGAGCCACTCACCCACACAAACTTTATCAAATTTGGTACGGGACAATTTTAGTGGGATTTTCCGTAAAGGTAAAATGAGACTATCTTAACGGGACGGAGGGAGTATTTATAGTACTCGTAATTTACATGTTCATTAGAAGATTCAATTTAATACTATTTCAATATAGATCCATTAATTCATGTTATTTCAGAAACATGATTAGCCTTCCATTTATGAACAAATAGCATGTATATTACCAATTATGTAGCATATTCAAGCTCGACCGGTCTTCCACCCTAATCCTAGAACTTGCCACTGCAATATGATTAATGATTAAACTAAGTTACCATTATTATGTTTTTCTTGTAAACCAAATTCCATTGATGCAGCTACATGGTATACTCCATCACAGCCTCTAACTGCCTCGTCGAAACTCCCCTCTTCGTTAAGATCAGCTTTAAACAGTTTCAGCCGATCAGACAATTTTAACAGATGCAGCGCCTTTTCTGGTCAAAGAGCTTATAGTATGAAGAATCACTAAAGGAAACATTTAATTAAGAATACTAGTGAGATAAACATCATATGGATGGCAAATTTCTCGCCACTTGTAAACAACCATTTTGAGATATACTATGAATTATTCTTGTAAATAAGTATTATGTTAAGAATAAATTTTACTTTTGGTCCTACGGGTATTGCACCAATTCCACATTTGGTCCGACTTTTGGTACATGACTATTGTTTCATGTCCCTCCGTGGATATTTTTGGGGCTTAAAATCGCCTGAAATGCTCCAAGAACTTGGACGGAAGACCACAGATAGGCAAGAAACTATAGTCAAGTACCAAAAACAGTCAAAACCAAAGACACCAAGCAAACATGGAATTGACATAAAATCTATAGGATCAAGAGTGGAATTAACACTGACATTAACATACGGAGTATTAAACATCCCAGATACAGTAACACAAATGGATTATAATGTTCTAAATTAAAATTCACAAAATAATCAGTCAACAGCACAAACGGGTTCAAACTAATGAATTCGTAGGAGATTGATGAGCAAGAATATACATAGAAGATGAAATAGGGAAGAAAGAGCTTTAGGACCTGGATGGCGGACAGTGGCATTGACATTATAGCCCTTCTGGAGGAGAGATTTGAGGAGCCACGATCCTATGAAGCCTGAGCCTCCTGTTACACAATATGTTAATCTGTTTCCCGTCTCTGTTCCTTCTTCACCTGCTGTATTTCCAATTGGTTGCTGTAGAACTTCCATTTATGTGCTGAATTTTAACTAGACTAGATAGCAAAGGAAGAGACTTGACCGAGGAATTATAATACGAGTAAGCCTCTTATAATAAAAAACCCATTTTTCTTGAATAGGAGCATATAACAAGCCAATTTCATTTTTTTAACTGTGGTTCAGTCATGCCAAGTACAGTCCCATGGCACTGCGAAAGCATGAGGTCAGATCTTCCAATTCCATCCGTAATTGAAGATGTTAGTCTTAAACCAAATAAGTGACTTTACTTGAAAATAAATCTTGATGCCACATGTGGAAAAAATGTTTAGAGTCCCACTTTCTCAAGCAAATGCATTCTCCAATGCAAAAAGAAATGAGTGGGGTCCATCCTCGGCAATGCATAAAGTCCAGCAAGGGTTTTACATTGAGACCATGGGTCTTACCTCTTGTCCTTGCAATGTTGATCTTTTAAATTTTTATTGAAATAACATTTTCTTCCTTCCCATTGGAGTTGGGTATTGATAGACCCTCCCATTGGAGTTGGGTATTGATAGACCCTCTCCATTACATGTACACCTAAGCACCAATCCATCCTATGGGTTGGAGATGCTCTTAGCTGTTACTCGAGTAGTTCAAAAAATAATTGAGGCCTAAAAACATCTTCAATGAGTACTCAAAATTAAAATAATGAGATTTCTCTCTCTTTTTCCTCAATCTTTTATATTTTAGTTTAATTTTAGCAATAATATTAAACACAGTGTCTACATCAAGATTTTCTCTTGATATTTTGGAAAAATAATACGGAGTATCAAATTTTGATACGACCTTTCAAATTCATAGTTTTTATGTATTTATATCTCTCATGTCATTTATACACAGAAGATTTTTGTATTGAAAATGCTCTAAATAGATTAAGGATCTAAATAGATTAAGGAAGAACAAGTGATGTAAATCAAGTTGTATTTGTTTCCTGGAGTCAACATAAACAACACTCGATTCTTTCTTAGTTACTTGTCTTTTTACAATTGTCATGGTTGGCTATACATAAGTGTTTCAAAAGAATTCTGAATAAAAATAATACGTAGTATGATATTTCAAAATAGGAATACTTTATTTTTCTTTCTAAATATGAGTAATTATTTTGTTAATTGATAGATGCAGCTAATTGTAGCATTTATAATATATATATATTGATGACTGATAATGCTTAAATATGATATTATGATGCACAATGACAATAATTTATTTTATATGAGAAAAACAAAATATTCATCTTTTTAAAATATCACATTATTGTTACTCATAATTCTAGAAATTTCCATATATGTTTCATACCCCTTCTGAAGTTTAAGCTAGTGCTTTTGTTGGCTTGATCGGTTATACAAGTTAAAATGTTTTTTGAGGGAACACAAGTTAAAATGTAAATAATTGAGAATAACATACATTTTTTTTTAAATATGACTAAATTTAAACTCATTTTCAAAAAGTGATTGTTCTTAGTTCTTCTTACATATAGAGAAATGTGTGACAAATAAGGTAATATTTTTGAAAAAACATGATCTCATTGTCATATTTTATGTTTTATCATATATGTTTATGTTACTATCATAAATTACACTATTGTGATCACAAATGTCACCGTCGCTGTGAAACATGTCCGTGTGACCGGTGATTTTTGGTTGTGATTTTCGGCATTGATTGGGCAGGTGGGGTCGGAGTTGGGCTGGAGGTTGGATATAAATTACAATAAAAATAGACAAATTAAACAAAATGTTTGTCATATTTTTTGGGAAAAGGAAAATTAATCACTTTTTTGCATCTCACAAAGTTACTGGTAAAATTTGTGTCCTTTCTCCAAATTAATACATTTGAGAATTACACTAGAAGTTCTCTTTTAAACAAAGAAATTAATTTTTTTTGAAAGTTCATAACTTTTCAAGTTATTATAGGTATCACATCACTGTCACTACTGTGTAACTTACAAAATGCGTCACTGGCAAAGAGAGTGTTTACAATTGCTTTTGATTTTTAAAAAATCGAATTTGTAAGGCGATTTCGAAAAAATGCTTAATAGTAAAAGTTAGTAATGTTTGAGAAAATATTTTGAAAAGTAAAAGTTGGTACTATTTGGTAAAATATGTGCTTTTCTGTAATAGAAAAAATAAATAGTTTTAAGCTTTTAACTTTTAAATGTTTAATTTAAGGATGTTTTTACTAGGACTGTAATTCGTCCCAGATCAGACCAGACTTGGATAGTTATAAAATACAATGAAACCAGACCAGATCAGACCAACAAATTACAGTCCAAGTAAAAACATCCTAAGTAGAAGTTGTCACTTGAAAATATAAATTTTAGTTTTTTTAAGACAAACGTCGAGAAACGCTTTTTTAAAGCGTTTGCAAACATGCTAAAAGGCTCTTCGACCAACTTTTGCAAGTAGCCGAATTATTTAACTCATAGACCACAAAGGGGTTCAATGCATCAAAGTACCCAAATACCGTCTTTTGATATAAAAAATCGACCCATTAACGTAATGTGATTTATAAAACACATCAAACCTCCCAATGCTATTATGAATCATACGTAGAATTCCTTCTATGAATAAATTTAATTGTCAAAAAAGACAAATGATTTACATTTTTGTACGATAGTTTAATTTAGAGATTTTGACAAATTTACCTGCATATTTAATCATAATATTCAGAAAAGTGAATTTAAAATTGTTAAATTTATTAAGAAAAGATGTTATCCACACCAATAATTATAACACGGGGAATTGACACATTTTTTTAAATCACAAGAGACTATTACGTTGATTCTATATCACATTGGAGTTTGGTATTATTTAACCAGCTACAAAGTGAGTCAACTAGGGGTGTGATTTTCACCCTTTGGATTGAACATATTCACTTTGACCCCTCTATGTACAAGGGTTGTACAACTTTTAAGGGTGAATACTAAATACACACAAATTTAAAATTTCCACCTATTCATCTTTGACGTGTAAATAACTTTAATATAAGTGTGATTGTTGTTATTGACTATTCTACTCGTAACCGTCTGATTACCTTGACTATCAATCTGATTTAATCAGAGTAGTTTGAAGTTTTGAACCTTTACCGGTTGAGAGTTGAGACACATGTTTGGTTCTAAATACCTTGACTTTCTTGTACATACATCATCAGAACAAGTGCTCAGTATCAGTAATACCCAAAATTTACGCAGTAGATTTTGCTTGCATTGTTGGATAAAGAACGAACATGTGATTCTGTGATTGCCATGACCATATAGCTGGGAAAGTAAAAAAAAATGTAGAACGTAGTGTATAGCAATTTCCAGATCTTTGCAAAAAAAACAATTTCCAGAAAGGCGGCCCAAAGCTTAATGAACTTGAACCTCATACCAAGGACTCAACAACGTCACTTATGACTTGTCCAGCTTCCCATATTGGCTTCTTCTAATTTAACTAGAAACACAGAAAAGAAAAGCAAGAGCAAAATTGTATAGAGATATCTTAGACTGTTGTAATTGCCTAATTTCTAGATCCTATGTCAAACTTATATCACAAAACGTAATGAGAAAAGAGGAAGATATTGGAGTTGAACTGGGAAACTGTAGTCATTAAATCTAACACGATTCAGTAGTGCTATCCGCAGATTGAACACGCCGGTGTCTAGAGATTGGACTCCGCTGATGTAGCTGGTCTACACTGATGCTAACCTCTTCTGGTGTTGCAGATAACTGCTTGTGATGCTGCAAACTACGTCTGGATTCGATTACCCGAGCCAGAACTTGCACAATCTCTCTCATGGAAGGCCTTTTCTTGGGTAAAGAGTTGAGGCATTTGTATGCAAGGGTTGACACATCATTAAGTTCCTGGACATTATACTTCCCATTAAGACGGGAGTCCACTATCTCTTCCCATCCGCTCTTACCATCTGTTGTCATAGCAGCCTGTAATGTTTTTTAGAGTTTAACCAAAATAAGGAAATGTCATCGCCTGATTATATAAAAAATCATAAAAAGATGGGGGCTAAGGGCAAATTCCAGGAGAAAGCTTACTACTTCAACATGCTCTAAAAGGCCCTGAAAAGGATTTCTTGCAGCAACAAGTTCAAAGAGTAATACCCCAAAGCTGTACACATCACTCTTTTTGGTGAATGTCCTTGTTGATATATATTCAGGATCCAGATATCCAAATGTTCCCCGTATGTTAGAAGCATATTTGTTAACCCTCTCTTCCATTGACAGACCAAAGTCTGCAACCTGTTCCATTGAAGCATAGTTTGTGGGTTATCATCAATTTCAAGTGTGATTGGTTGCCTCATCAGTCATTATTACACGTTATAATAAGTATTGCCAAACAGATCCATGACCAAGTACATAAAAAATTCTAGCGCAGTATGCTTATACGTAGTATATGTTTTTCCAAAAGGTCAAAAAAGAAATAAAAACACAAACATCAATTAAGCAATTCCATACCCTGGCCCCCATGGATTCGTCTAACAAAATATTGGAAGATTTTATATCTCGGTGTATTACAGAAGGGACTGCCTGAAGACAAAAAATAATGAAGGACATGGTTACTGAGAATCGTAGTGGTGCATGCTAAAAAAATAAAAAAATAAAAAATATGGCGATGAACATTACAACCATAATAAAAAAAATGTCAAGTAAGAGTGAAGTTTTACACCGTCATGAAGATACTCCAAACCTCTTGCTACATCAAGGGCAATGTGAACCCTCAAATCCCAACTCAACGGCTCCAATACTTCATCTGCTATCATGATAAATGAAAGAGAAGATTTTAAAAATATTACTATAAACCAGGTCTATGACTCAGACATGACATCTAGAATACAACCAACTTTGCCGCTATGCTAAACTAAACTCACTAACTGATATGACCATTATAAACCAATAGAACTGCACTGTCTACATGTTGATGACTTTGTCACCACCATGGTTCCATACTTACCATACAAATGTGAAGACAAGCTACCTCTACTCATGTAGACATAGATAAGCATGTATTGACCCTTCTCAGCACAATATCCAATCAAATTCACAAGGTTCCTATGATGCAACCTTCCAAGTAGCATGACCTAAGAACAAATAATGCAGAAGGTCAATAGAAAGTTCCAAAAATACTTATGACACATAGAGAGTTAAAAAGTTCAGATGCATAGGAGAAAATAAAGGATTAAAGGGAGAAGAAGAGTCAGTTAGCGTCCTGTTGTTTTATATTAAGAGCATGCACAAACTTCTCGGAAATTTGAGATCCATAATAATCTAAACGAAGATTCTGTGCCTTATAGAGGCACACCTTGCTTCAAATTATCCATGTACTAAGCGAAGGATATAGACATACAGAACCAGGATCCATATTTCTGCCACTAATAAATAAAATCATCAGTGGCAGGGTTAAAGGGGTACCTCTGTGTGAAACTCTTTTTTTCCTTGTGTAGAATCTGTTGCAAGCACTTTAACAGCAACAGTATCACCAGTTGGCATCTGAGCTTTGTATACAGGACCATATGCCCCTTGCCCAATCAATGTGGAAAAATTGCAAGTTGCTTTTTGTAAATCCCTGCATGTATCAGGAAATGTACTTTGAGAAACTTTATAAAAGCACTACAATACACTAATGTAATTGTATAACACAGATACACACAATAAAAGCACTACAATACACTAATGTAATTGTATAACACAGATACACACAATTAGAAACCCGGGTAAATGCTTTAAGGTGGTGGAAAATATACGATTCTTGAAATTAATGCCACTCAGAATTGATTAAAGATGGTTGAATATCAAATATACATTGAAAGACTTACTTCAAGACAATATAAATATGCAATTAGGCTAAGACTACAAATGGACCAATAGCCAACCTCATACAAAGTCTGACACAACGCTAGAAATTAATGTCCTCAGATATAGGTTGTAGTGATTGTATATCACAAGACATGCATTGAGAAACTTAGTTTAATGCAATACCATCAAACCAGGGAATACAAATAGACCAACAGCCATGTTACAAACACTGATGAATACAATATGGTGTAAATGTGAGGTTCTATGGAAATATGTGTTACCAAAAGACAGTGTGCCTCAGGAATATGAAACTGTTGATACTCATTCCAACCAGCAATCAGCTAGAATAGGTCGTATGCTCTGAACTCAATCAAATAACCAGGCAGTTACTAGGGTATGATTGAAAATTCGCTTCTATATCCGTTCCTTACTTCGATATTTTAAATTTGTTGCGATTATCAAGGCCTGAACTCATGTTGTTGCAGTTCTTTATAGTTAACGAAAATATTGTATGTGAAATGCAGATCCAGACAAACTTCACTTGAGACCAAGAGTGCATTCAATAGTTGGAAAGCATGTGTTTCAATGACATTTGTCAAAATTATAAGAAGGCATCGCCATAGTGCATTTAAATAGAAGTGCCTACTTGTATGAGTACTCGAGAATCCCAGTTGCAGATACCATGTTTGACTTTCTAACGCTCCCAAACCACATCGACGTCCCATATTGGATAGGAGTTTTTGGCGTTTCAGTCCCAACAGAGGAATCTGACAATACTGTACAAGCATCAGCAGCATTTTTACGAATTGGGATTGTAACAGCTCTCCTGGAGCTGCTATTCCCTATATGAGGGTGTCTCCTGTGTACTCTATGGCACAAAAGTGCCAGTACAGCCAAAATTACTCCAATCACCACCCCAATGGAAATCCCAATAATTAAACCAGATGGAAGGTCTTCCATTCTTTCTTTTCTGTGCTGAACACTATCAGCTATCTAAGCATCCACCCATTGACAATAGTGTTTATACTGAGGCCAACACTGCCAAAAAAAGAGATTCAATTTTTCATGTAGATAATAAATCTTACATAATATAGCATATTTGCTCATATGGAAACTCAACCCACAAGGAATAACCAGTGCACCACTGCAGCCTAACCTGTAAACGGAAGACTTCAAAACCACTTCCATTTACCATTCCACAATCACGCAGAAGTTTGAAATGAACACCTTAGACGTCATTCCATGTCTGTTTTGGTTTTATGTTTTGTATTTCTCTAAAACAAAAAGCAGAAACCCAAAAACAAACAAAAAGTTGTTTCTAGTTTTCATAATTAAAACAATTACTCGAAGTATAATTATTCTTTGGTTCATCACACAGCATATATCATATTAATATCTACCCTTTAGAATCATAGATGAAAAACTGAGAAAAGACTATGATAGTCAAAGGTCAACAGGCCTGTAACTAAATTCATTAGTACAATTACAATCCCATAACAAAACATAATCATCTATTGACGCCATCAGTTTAATTTGGCGAAACTCGAAATCCAAAAAACGTCCTTCACGAAGATCGAAAAAAGGAACATTATGCCAAACACTAATAAAATTTAAGCTCCGAGAGAAATATAGGAACGACTCCAAGAGCCAAACGTTTTCAAAACTAACACAATTTCTGGAATTCTCATCAAACCGATCATAAAATAACAATGCAACCAGGTAAACTAACAACTATCTGCAAATATGCAATTATTCCATATATGGAAGACAAAGGCTATACAAACAAAAGTGAAATTTCCTATCATTTTGCTTCTCTTTACCACTGTCACTTTTTCCAGCAAACAAGCAATACATAGATGATCACGAACAACCGCACAAGCCGAATAGTCCACACCAGATTTTATAGTAAGTTTCAATCAAAGCGGAAATAGATGAGAGGAAACAAACTAGAGAAGCATTTGAAGCTGAGAGAACAAGTGGTTCTGAAATATAACGCACATTTTATTGGAGCCTCCATGTCAGTGTGGATACCTTGATGCAGTTACGACTTGAATTTCCCTCTTCTCATTTTTAGTATTTTTACCGTAATTGGAAACTGAAAGTTTTATGGGATGAGAAAGGATTCCGACAAGGCTTTTGACAGAGAGAAGGGATGCAAGAACGGGATTGATATATTAGTGCAATCTAGTCTTCTAAATGAATTTGAGTCAATTCACTCAAAAATAATACTTGCCTCGTATTTCAAAGATTGGTGTTATGGCACAAGATTTAAGGTATGATGGAGTATATGATCCAGGAATCCCGCCCATATACTCTTACTTCTCCTACAAAAATCCATTGAGCCTAGAGAACAACTCAGGCCCAAATGCAACGGCCCAAGTCTCAAAGTAGCCCAGAATAGATACTGGGGTACCTTCGGCCTCCTTGGCCGAAGGCTCCAGAACTCACATGATAGCTTTTTTAGGCATACAAAGCTACTGGGAGGAAGCGGTGGAAAACAGGAGCCTTCGGCATCATCAAGCCATCGGCATAAGAAAAGCCTTCGGCTGAACGAAGCCTTCGGCCACACAGGGGTCCTTGGTCACATGGAGCCCTGGCTACGCAGGAAGCCTTCGGCCAAACGTGCTCAATCATCGAAGATTCCTTTTGGAGACAGTCAACCACCGCGTTTAATGCCACGTCACATCCGCCAACCTCATTCAATGCGGTGAACGTACCACTGTCGGTGCCACCCGACTGATGTGACCCCTAGGCCGTTGGATTGTTGACACGTGTACTCTCATCGCATTTATTGCTGCTATAAATAGCAGCCCTTATTCTCCTTGTAAACCACGCTGAGTTCATTTAATAAATCGACTCTCTCTCCTCCTATTTTGCTCTGACTTCTCTCTAGTTATTCCCGCGATAACCCCTCGGATAAGATACCCCGGGTAGACTGTCCATCAAGGTAGAATGGTAAAAGTAATGAATAATATAGAAAAAGTAGGAGAGAATGTGAAAAAGTAATAAAGAGAGGATAAAAAGTAGAAAAAATAAAGACAATTGAGTTTTTTTTAAAGAAAAACTTACCATAAAGGGAAAGTGTATGAAACTTTTAAATGAGAACTTTTAAATACGGAGGGAGTACCATAATTTCATTTTTTATTTTAATTATTATAAAATTCAATGCAAGAAATCAAATATTAGGTACTCCTTATTTGTTTTTTGGGGGGAAACGTACTCCTTATATTGTTAAGAATGGTAAAATTGATAAGATAAAATAAGAATTTCCAAAAATACTCTCTAAAGCAGTACTACGTACAATATAATATATCTACGGAGTAATATTTACCACAAAGCCAATTATATTGTGGTAAAAAAGCGGCGGATATTGAGAAATGATATAATGTACTTGTATATGAATTGTATGGAACGAAATAATAATAACGACGTAATAATAATAATAATAATAATAATAATAATAATAATAATAATAATAATAATAATAATAATAATAATAATAATAATAATAAAGCAAGGTAATATGTTACTCCCTCCGTATCAAATTACTTGACCCACTTTCCTTTTTTGAGATATCAAATTAATTGACCCCTTTCCCTTTTTGGAAAGAATCTCACTCAAAAAACAGCTACAGTACCGCTACGGTGTCGTTACAGTACCAAAAATCTCTTACTTTTAATAAAGTCTACAGTAATTGTCTTAAACTGCGTGAAAAGCAAATGAGTCAATTAAATTGTTACGGAGGGAGTATGTATTTTCAATATATTTATAATAATAAAATATATTTTGAATATAATTTTTTCATAATTTAGGCATTCAGCGTAATTGGTTAATTTAGTCGTTTCAATTCCAATTTCTCATATTTCAATAGATTAATCTGATTAAAACACTTTAGTGTTACAAAGCGGTTGCTGAATTTCAAAATATATACATATATTTTGCCTTTCCCATTACATGGCAGTTCTTAATTTCACATTAGGGAAAACTGTCAAATAGGTCCTCGAACTTTCATTAAAAAGTCAATTAAGTCCTTCTATAGGAGACTTTGTCCGGTCGTCGCGATTTGGGGCGGTTCCCGATGGAATTTTTTGATGAAATTTTTTGAGCATCTTATTCATCAAGTCTAGTTTACTCATACCAAATTTAAGCTAAAAATTTAATCGGGAGCGCATTCAAATTAATTAAAGAACGCAAAAATGCGCAGTTATCTTCAAGAATTAATTTGAATGTGTTCCCGATTGAATTTTTAGCTGAAATTTAGTATGAGTAAACTAGACTTGGTGAATAAGATTCTCAAAAAAATTCATCAAAAAAATCCACCGGGAACTGCCCCAAATCGCGACGGCCGGACAAAACCTGCTATAGAAGGACTTAATTGACCTTTTTAAGAAAGTTCGAGGACCTATTTGACAGTTTTCCCTTTCACATTATCAAGACGATTGAAAGTAAGGTCGTATTCTCCTATGTATAATCACAAAAATACACTTGCATCACATTACTATCTTCTTTCTCTTAAAACTTTGTCTTCTCTAACTTTTCAAGACATTGGTGTTAAAGGTTAGATTGTGTTTTTAATTAGTATAATATTTGAAAAGTTATAAATTTATATTTTTATGAGGATACTTTTAACAAAGAATATTTTCAGATCATTTTTATATTATAAATAACTTTTTATTAAAATATATTATTGATCAAAATTGAACTTGATTGACTAAAAAATGCAAAGATCGTCAAGTTAAGGAACGGAGGGATTATGAAAATAGCTCACAATACTTGAAAAGACTAAACATTCTTGAAAAAATGATACGCATATTCATTTTATCTTTAAAAAAAACATAAAAAGCGCTACGAAATAATAAAGTAAAAATAACACACGTCGAACATATTTCAACCGCATTTTCTAGAAATTTGAAGAAAACATTTTTAGTCCAACCCTCCTAATTGCCTCTCTTGTGGCATGAAAACTTGTTTTTTGTTTTGAAATTGTTATAACATGAAGTCTTTCTTATGTTATTAATATTACATAATATAAGAATAATTTGGCTAAAAAACTATATTCAACTTTTTTATAAATTACAAAAAGAAAAAAACTTTTTTATATGTGCAATACCGACACAATTGGAAAGACAAAAAAGAGAATACGGAGAATTTAATTTGATAAACTCTTTATTTATTAAAAATTAGACAATATATACGGAGTATATAAATATTGCACTATGAAATACGGAGTATAAAAATTGCAATGGCACGTGTACTCTTTGCGTCTTTTCAGATTTTTATGTACTCATATATGTGCCCCGAATTTTATCCGATTCCATATCCATATGTGTTGACCCACCATTAATCATAAGCATGAAAGCATCCAATCCAATTTTATTGTACGAGCGCAATTATCTGCATTGTTCATGGCGGGATAATCTCAATCCGATCTCAACTGTAGATATTGATTTCGGAGAAAGGCAGATTATTATGAATATGTCGAAGAATTGAAAAATATTTGGTGTACATATATAGGTATATGTACACTCGTCTATCTCACGCACATAGAATTGTCTGTCTACAAATAATTCTACAGAATTATTTGTGAATAGACAATTCTGTGTGCGTGAGACAGACTAATGTACGAAAGGTGTACAACTGTACACCTTAATGTGTACACCTAGCGCAGCTCCGAAGAATTTAGGATGTTTATAATTTGATTGAGATTTTTCAATTTTGTTTGGATTGGTCTCATCTAATTAAGTTTGGTTTGATTCGAACAGGTCTGGTTTGGTCTGATCTGATAGATGTCTAGCCCATATGTATTTTACAACTGTCGAAATCTGATTTGGTCTATTCTAATCTGTTTAAATCTCATTTTCTGTTCTGCTATGATTTGAGACTAAGAGGGTGTTTGGAACTGATTCTGCTTCTACTTCTTTGTTAAAGTAGAATCAGAATCAGAATCAGTTTTCAGAAGCTGGTCTCCCCAACTTCTAAAGAAACTGATTCTAGGAGTAAATTAGAGCACCAAAATCACTTTTGCACTTTCACCCAAATATTCCTACTTCTTATTCTGCTCTGTGATGAAGTAGAAGCAACTTTAAAAATCAGATCCAAACACCCCCTAAAACCAGTCCAAGTAATTAAAAACATTCTTATGATTGAAATATTCTACCATTTGCCAGGTTTGAAGTTTCTGTTGCACTTCGGCTCTTTTTATTTAGAAAAAATTGACAAATAATCTCACCTTTCACTGGTTTTTTCATACAAATCTCACCTTTATGTAATCCTAGAATAGTCTCACCTTTGCACCCCATCTTTTTTCTTTGGACCCTGACATGTTGATGACCTAGTATACCATATTTTTACCCTTTCTGTGAAAATCTTATATAAATAATCTCACCTTTCACAAATCTGCTCAAAACGGTCCCATGTTTCATTTTTTTCTCCCTAAAATTTTTCTTTCTTTATTTTCATCCATATACACTTTGTATTCCATTTTCTATCCTTTTATTCTTATTTCTTTTCCATTTTTATTATTCTATTTCTTACTCTATTAGGGGATGTTTTTTTTTGTAGAATTTCTCTTCAAAATAGCTCTTTTTTGTCGTTTTCTTTTTATTTCCGTATTTCATTTCATTTCCCTTTTTATGTTTTTCTTCTTAATCATTCTCTTCTTATATACTCCCCTCGTTCTTTATTAATAGTCTCTTATTCCATATTGGGCTGTTTTTTTATTTGTCCCCCTTTCCATTTAAGGAAAGTTTTTGATAAAATACACTCATTTTTATTACTTTTACCTCACTTACTTTTTACGAACTACTTCCTCTTTCCTACTTTATTATCACTTTAATCTACTTAATACACTCTCTTTCCTACTTTATAATCACTTTACTCTTTTTAATACACCCTCTTTCCTACTTTATCATTTATCATACACACTCTATACTTACCCTACTACTTTATTATTATTTATTAAAACTCTTGCCCAAGGCTAGCGGGACTATTAATAAAGAACGGATGGAGTATTAAAGATCTTTTTCTCACTTTACTTTTTGTTATGTTTTCTTTTTATTTTCACTTATCCACTTTTATATTTTCACTTTTAAAATAAGATCTTTAGTAAGAATAGAATGATTAAGAAGAAAAACCTAAAAAGGGAAATGAAATAAAAATACAGAAAGAAAAGGAAAACGACAAAAAAGAGCTATTTTGAAGAGAAATTTCACAGAAATTTTT